TGAGAAGTGGCTCTGCTCCCTGCAAGCTGCACAGGAGCGGAGCAATGGAGCTGTAACCCCCATGGGGCCTGGGAGCGCCCCTGGGTCCTGCCCCCGGTGCCCCTGGCTTCACTGTGCCTGGGCAGGGCTGGTGGTACTAGCTTTGCAGCCCCGCAGCACAGTGCGCTGTGCCCCGCAGGAGCGGCTGGTGGTGGAGAACGCGGACTGGCTGGTGGTGGTCCCCTATTGGGCTGTGTGGCCTTTCCAGACCCTGCTCCTGCCCCGCCGTCACGTCTGCCGCCTCCAGGAGCTCAGCGACGGCGAGAGAGACAGTAAGTGGCTGCCCCGTCCTGGCCCCTGGGCGGAAATGCCCCCCCCCGCCCCCACTGCATGCTCTGCTCTGGAGCCGACTGCCGCATGCACCCACCCCTGCTCCATGCACCATGGGGAGGAGCCTGGACCGGGGTAGAATGTCCTTTGGCCCCTCCCCCCAGCTGCTCTCACCCCCGCCCCCTGTTCTCATTTCCTTCTCTTGCAAGGCATGAAATCAGAAGTGGGGGTTCTGGAGCGTGGCAGACCAGCTCCGGCGGTGTGCCCACCGCGAGGGATCAGAGGGCAGCTCTTTGTTACTCAGTTCCCCAGGTGCTGTGTGCGGAGCCGGGCTCAGGATGTGGGGCTGCTGGGCGGCTGAGTGCCCCATGCTTATCCCTGCGTGGTGCCATGACACTCACGGGAAGCTTCCAGAGCCAGGCTTGGGCTGGTGCTTGGTGTATGTCCCAACTCGCTGACCGTGACGGATAGAACTTAGGGCAGGCAGGTAGGGCGCCGATGTTCAGCCCACTAGACCCGGAGGTGGGGGGGCCGATGCTGTGCTGAGGGCAGGTGGCTCAGTGTGCCAGGTCCCGGGGCTCTGGGAAGTTTGCAGACGTGTGTCAGACTGGCGGAGAGGTGAATAACGAAGCGCGCAGGTCGCTGGTACAGAGCCATCTGGATCGAGCAAACAATAGACTTCCGTTTTAATATGGCTAAATAGAAATGAATCCATCGGGGAACAAAGAATGTCGGCCGTGCTTACAGGATATGGGACTCTATCCCAGGAAGCAGTGATGCTAAAAAAGATTGGGGGTTGATGGTGGATAATCAGGTGACTATGAGCTCCCAGTGCGATGCTGTGGCCAAAGGAGCTAACACGATCCCGGGAGGCATGAATGGGAATCTCAGGTAGGAACAGAGAAGTAATTTTACATCTGTATTTGGCACTGGTGCCACCGCTGCGGGAATCCTGTGCCCAGGTCTGGAGCCCACAGTCCAAGAAGAATGTTGATAAATTGCAGAGGGGTTCAGAGAAGAGCCATGAGAAAGATGACAGGATTGGCAAACCTGCCTTAGAGTGAGAGACTCACGGAGAAGGTTATGGGGTGACTTGATTATAGTTTCTAGGTACTTACCTGGGCAGCAAATATTTAACAATGGGCTCTTCAGTCCAGCAGAGGCAGGTCGAACACGATCCAATGGCTGGAAGTTGAAGCCAGACAAATTCAGACTGGAAATCAAGGCAATTAACCACTGGAACAATTTACCCAGGGTTGTGGTAGTCTCCATCACTGACCATTTTAAAATCGAAACTGGGTATTTTTCCAAAATATCTGCTCTAGGGATTATTATGGGGCAGTTCCAGGCTTGTTCCACAGGAGGGCAGACTAGATGAGCACAATCTGGCCTTGGAATCTGGGCAAACCCTGGGCTGGGGCAGGGGCACTGCCTGGCCCCCGGTGAACAAGGGGTTAACCTCAGGGCAGCTTCCCCTGTCCCAGAGGCACTTAGGAAGGAGTGGCTGTGCAGAGTAGGGGGGTGGTTTGGGCTCCACCCCAGAGGCGCTGGAGCAGTTTGAAGCAGGGGTTAGGTTGGTGGGTGGGAAGGGAGGATGAGCAGCGTTCCCTTCTCAAGCAGTGCCAGAATGAGGCGCCCTCTGCATCCAACCAATCAGTGACATGATCCCTCTTCTCCCTTGCAAGCTCTGACCCACAGTGAAGTAGTTAATGGCATTGGTGTTTGCGTTGTCATTAGGTTCCAGAGTCAACACCCACTGTGATCCATAAGGGCAAAGCCCCTAGTTCTTGTTTCCATAGTAGATCCCTTCAGAGCTGCGACCCAAACTGAGCCTGCCCTGGGGTGGGTGGCCAGGCTGAGGGGTCGGACTGATGTGAGCTCTGGAGAGCAAGTCCCTGCTGACTGGGTCACTGCCTGGGCACCGAGCTGCCTCACAGGCGGGGAGTGAGATTCTGCCAGTGCCCAGCTGCGATCCAGGGAAGAGGTTTTTGTGCTTTTCTCCCCATCTGTGCCGAGGACCCTCCTGTTATCTGTGCCCCCACGTGGGCCGAGGGCTTGGGAGCGGGTTGGGTTAGGGCTGGTGACTGACCACTCGCTGTTCTTGTGTCGCAGGTCTGGCCTCCATCATGAAAAGGCTCCTCACCAAGTACGACAACCTCTTTGAGGTTTCCTTCCCCTACTCGATGGGCTGGCATGGTACGTGGCGGGGGGGCACGGGACAGCGAGTGCGGGGCGAGTCGGGGCACCGGGTGGCTCAGGGGACTGGCATGGTATGTGGCTGGGGGATGAGGGGGAGCACGGGGGGGCGAGTCGGGGCACTGGGTGGCTCAGGGGACTGGCATGTGGGGTTGTCGGTTCAAATCCAGCCCCAGCCGGTCACGGTGCCCACTTGGAGGCCACGTGAGCGGAGTCTGTCCTGTGACCGA